GACCGGAGAAACGGGGGGAGGAGCAGCACACGGGTCGGTTCAGGGAGGACGTGACGCGAGACAAAGGGATGCGGCGATGCCGTAGCGTGGACAGCGTGGCACACGGGTCGGCGCGCGATTCACCAGCCAGCGATGCGGGCGCGACGACGAGACGCGGGGTGTCGCAGACCACGGCTATGAGGCCCAATTGCGGTCCGTGCGGGCGATGCCGCTGGCGCGCGAGACGGCTGACGCGCGATACCGAGGGCAGGTCCCGTACGACGCAGGTCCCACCGGTGTGTGCGATCCTGAAGCTGAGGCGGCGCCCAAGGGGTCGCTTCAGCAGCGTGTGAGGGGGGCCGTGGATGCCGGAACGGTGGTTGCAGCGGTGGCGGCAGCAGCAGCGCGATACAGGAAGCCACGAAGAAGAGAGAAAGAGAAAAAACAGAAAGACCAAGCCGCGAAGGAGGGGGCGAGTAGGACGCAATGAGGTCGGGACTTCGGGCGTCTCCCGTGGAACCGGTTCGGGTGGATAGCCGCGGCGTCAGGGCCGTGGAACTCAAGCGACGGGTCCAGGCCGACCGCGCGATGGCGACAGCGGCGACAGCGGCGACAGCACGTCGACTCGCGTCAGTCACGTCGGAGGGCACAATCCCGCTGGGGCACGGCCGGTCGGGCGAGCGCAGCCAGCCGAGGTGGAGCAGCAACGAAGCACGGTCCGCGATGTCGATGCCGAGGAAGTCGATGCCGGGAAAGTCGAACTCGCGGGGATCGCGCTATCGTCGTATCGGAGCCAGGCACCGTCGATGCCGACGTCGTCCTAGGGACCGACCCAGGGTCCACCTGGCTCGGTCCCGCGCCACGCGCCCGGGGCCTGCCCATGCGCCAGCGGCCTCTGCTCGCGCCTCGCGCAACCGTACGACCTTAAGTATGATCGCTGCGTGGAATCTCCGTGGCGCGTGCTCAGCGCTGCCCGGCGAGCGGCGTGGCCGGATGGGATCGTCGAGGCCGGCGGGGTCGGCGGGGCGGGAGGCGGCCGCTGGGGGGCGGCGGCGGCGGCGCCCGGGGGCCTGGGGCTGGGCCTGGGGCGCTCTGGCGCCCGTCAGCGGTCATGGCTCTGGGGAACGCGCGGCACAGCCGCGAGGCGCCCCAGGCGGCGGTGACGGTGACGGTGACGGTGACGGCGGCGACGGTGACGGCGACGGCGACGGCGACGGTGGGGCTGTGTCGGCGGCGGCGGCGGGCGGCGGGCGGCGGCGGCGGCGGCGGCGGCGGGCGGCGGCACCGGCACCGGCGGCACCGGCGGCGGCGGCGGCGGCACCGACGCGCAGCAGAGCGGAAGGAGGCGCGCGCGCGGCCCGTGAAGGCGGCGTGTGGCGTGGCGGACCGGAGGTGGCAGCGCGGCGGACGGCGCTCGACGGGGACGGGCGTCCGCCTCAGGCAACCCTAAATGCGAAAGCGGCCGGGGCCCGCATGACGCGGCGCAGCATGCACCCGGGCCAGGCGGCGGCGACAGGCGGCGGCGACAGGCGGCGGCCGGCCGGCCCGGCAGCCAGCATCGGGCCCGCGGGTGCGGCAGGACGTGGATCCAGCGGGACGCCGACCTGGAAGCCAGACGATGGGGCCACCGGCATCCCAGCAGCTCAAAGACAGCCATCGACGGGTCAGCACCGTGATCCGAGGTCCGCATCACAAGCACCGCGCGCGCAGCGCCCCTCCGATGGCTCGAGACAGACGAGCCCCGGGGGATCGAGCACCGGAAGTCGTGCTGGACACGCCAGCGCCTGCGGCTGTACGGAGCCATCCGGCCATCATGAGACGGGCACGGTCACGACGCAGGCGTAGGCGCGACGCAATCGTAGAACGCATGTCCGCATCTCTGCGCGGCACAGCACGACCGCAGCGGGCCACCCCACCAGGTCGGGGAGCCATGTTCCCAGAGGCGGGACCAACCGAGACGCCGGCACCGGCACCGGCATCGCCCGTCAGCCATCGTCCAGGTTCGGCCCGCCCATGGATCCAGCGAATGGGCCGCACCGGAAACCAGCGCGCCGGCTCTGCCTCGAGCCATCGGCGAGCGGGAGGCTCGAGGCACTGGCGCCGACAAGCGACGGCTCGCGCAGCCTCGGAACGCCACGTGGCCACGGCTGGCTACCGCCACCGCCGCCGCACGCCGCCACGCCGCGTCTCGAGAGCGCAGCCGATCCGTGCCAGCGCCGCCCCATCAGCCCTGCAAACAGGTGCGGCTGGAGGGTTCCCCCCGAGCTGCGATGGGATAGGGTGGGGTCCAACCCTGCCGCCCGGGCCAAGGCCCGTGGTGGGACGCCCTCGCAGCGACCGCCCCAACGGTATACCCGTCAGGGTGCTGCCCATGGCACGCCCCGGAGGCGCGAGGCAGGGCCCGCGGCACCGGCATCCCGAGCATGGCCATGAAGAGACCCTCCCCCATCGGGAGGCACCAGCCCACGGCAGTCCGCGACGCAGGGCGCTTCCTTCGACCCGTACGGAGCGTGCGGGCGTGCTGAGCGCCCAAGCGGAGCCGTGGACGTCCGAGACGATGGAACGCAGAGCTCGCCCGCTGCCCCGAGCACTTTGTCGTAATCATGGAGAGAGACCAACCCCGTGATCCCCCTGGGGGCACCCAGGGGCTCCCCCACAAGGAGGCCGTCTGTCGGAGTCCCAGCATCGGATGCGCTGGCCGATCACGGGCTGCAACCTGCCTTACCCCATGACGCGGCAGATCGGACGGGCGGGGCGAGGCAACGTCTGATGTTCCGAGCGGCATCGAGGTCGCGGTTCACCAATTTGCCGTGGAATCCCCGTAAATCTCTGGCCACGGCATCCGGTGTGGCCCATGGATCAGGACCTGATTCATCCCGACATGCCCCCGGGTTGTGCGGAATTCGACGGCCAGGACAGTGCGGAAACGCTGAGCGCACGCCTGAGACGGAGCGAAGATCATGCCCTTGTCTGCTCTGTCTCAGGCCCTACTTTGAGGTCCTTCAGCAGATCATACAACATAAAGGTGTCGATGGTCACGGATTGGGCCCGCATCTGGACCTCTGGCACCACGTTGATAGTCGGCAGCTCAGCGTCCTCCGGTGACCGCTAGACGCAACAGGCATGGCGCATCACGCGCACCACGCGGTGCATCATGCTCTTGCCCTTCAGCCTGCTAGGCGGCGCGCGTTGGTCCGCCTCGAGGCCCAGTACACTACGGTGTGCCACCCCCGTCTGCTCCAGGGCAGACAGCCGCCTTAGAGTCTCCGAGTCTCCACATGGCGCTCATACACAGATCCAATTCAGCATCCAGATACCCTACGGATCCGTCAGGCCATTTGGCGCTCTGAAAGGCACGAAGAAACGCATTTACCCGCTCCTCGAAGCCCAGTCCGATTACTTCTCAGGTTGATGGTGCCCTAAGTGTACAGGTTACCGTCCCCGAAGAGGCGTTGCGTGAGAAGCATGGCTGCCAGCAGGCCGGCCCGATAGCAGCCGCGCACGCCGGAGTCGGGCATGACCGTGCCCGTGACGCCCAGCATCAGCCACCGGTCTCGCACGCGAGCATCCGTCGCCGCCTGGCGTCGCCCATCAGGCCTACGCTGTGCCGCATCCCGGGACAAGACAGCCCGTAGCAGCCCGTACTCAGCAAGCGCATCCGGCAAGCGCATGAACCCGAATGCGGACGGCCTCCTGGAGGGAACCGCCGGGGGCCCGAGGATAGGAGACCATGGTATTCGTACTGCATCATCTCACAGGTGGGATTCAATCACAACAATATAGAAAGATGCAAGGGCCTTCTGGCGTCTACTCACACTCCGACACGATAGTCTCCAGCAACATGATGACGACGGGTGGGTGGAGGGCCCGTAGGAATGAGACGGTGGCTTCGCTGCTTAAATCCGCGGCTTCGCGAGAGATCATGCAGACGGACAGGTAGCATCGTTCAAGCATGTAACCGTGCGTCGTATCCCCCGAATCCGATCGAAGTGACCCCGTCGACGTCGACAACACTAAAATTGCTTGGCGCCTATCGCGCCATCGCTGACCGTCAAAACTACTAGGGGGCGGCCATCGACTCGTACACCTCTACATGTCCTGCTATGCCGTACCAATGACTGTATGGGTGAAGTTGCACGAGACACATGCTCTCGAGGCGCCCCTTGAAGCGGACTCGAGCGAGACACCGGTGTGCCGATCAAAGAGACGGACTCCGCCAGTGATGCCGCGAAACATCATGCCCAGAGTTTAGACCAACTTCGCCCCGCACCAGCACCATATCCACCGATTGATTCCAAAGTTTCGTCGGCATCCGAGTAGCAGCCCACAGCGTGAATATCCATACACATGCCACGTGTACATCGGCGATGCTTGGCCGCCGTCGCAACTCTCTTCATTTAACTTACATCATCTCTCGGTTTGTGACCAGCGCTCTGACCGATCTTCTGGATGATGCGATCTAAATAAGATAAGATAAGACATATTCATAATGGCAATTGAACAAGCGATAGTGGATCCTTGGCCAACTCAGAAAGATTTAGAATGGCACCCTGGGGCTGTTGCGACTTCATGGCACCTCACTGAAATGCGGAGATGATCCCGACCACGACGTCCGCGCCTGGTAGAGCGTGACCGAAAACGTCGGCCTTTCCATCCTACTCAGAGGAGGGACTCCACGTCAATGGGCATCCGCCTCACTCCCATGATGTCCTTTCATTTATAGCACACCGGTTGACCCCTGCTGTGGTCAAGCACGCGAGGAACGCCGTCGCGAAGCCGTTGCTGGTACCGCAGCATGAATCGCTTGAGTTTAGCATTAAGGCTAAACGACGACCTAAAGCCCATGAACTCACATCGAGGAACGCATCATACACCACCAGCGGAAGGCCACCATAGCCAAAGGCCATGCACAGGCATGGGTCGATGCAAGCGAGAGCGCTTGCTGTCGACGCGTTCTGCATGTCATCCGTGCCTGGGTGACCCCATCAGGCACCCACTTATTGGGGACGGCAAAACTAGACTGCATCCGCCGGGAATCGAACCCGGGGCTAACACATGTTGCTGTAGGGCTCCGAGGTCTTGAGACGGTCAGAGCTGCTATGGCAAGCGTTAATTTTACCACTAAACCACGGATGCATTTTTGTTTTTTGTCGGGGACTTTCCGCCATAGGCGCCTCCAGGCGCCTTTTCTAATTTGGCTCCTCACGCTCTCAATATCGA